GGTTCCTCAATTTTAATATTTAGTTGCAAAAAACGATTGTTAATCAACAAACGCATTTTTTAGCAACAAAGAAATTTTTTTAAGAAACCATTTTTTTTCTAAAAATCATGATTCGGCAGTAGATGCAAAGCTTGTCTTTGCGATAACTGCCTTGGAAAGCCTTGTTTATCTTGGATACTGTGCTTTGAGTCGCATCCAAAAGATCCGTAATGTATTGCTTTATTTTTAGGCTCTGTTTTCAATCTGTCTATGTATTCTTTTCAGTAGTGAGTTCATCAATGGATCCGGTAATTGTGTCAAGGAGCGATTGGCATGCCAAACCTCCAAAATCCATAGAAGTCATGGCGAATCCAGTTCCTTACGTCGTCATTCACCACAGCTACCTCCCTCCAGCCTGTTTCACCACCGAAGAATGTATCAAAGCAATGCAATGGATGCAGGATCTTCATCAGATAAACAACAGCTGGGCGGACATAGGGTACCACTTCGCTGTGGGAGGTGACGGGAAGGCTTATGAAGGCAGGGGGTGGTCCAGGGTTGGGGCACATGCCCCTAATTATAACAGTATCAGTATTGGAATCTGTATCATTGGAGATTGGAGAGGTTAGTATTTTCTAACGTGTGTAGGTGTAACTTGGTAGCATTGAAAACCCTTTGATGAAAAGCTAATAACCTCAAAAATTTAATAGTAGGCTATTGTCCTCTGAAAACTATATGACTCACAGTATATGACCATTCATGGTAAAATTTGAAAAACATAATTTTATTGCCTTTTGGAGTCAAAAATTCCCATTTGGCCCTTGAAATCATGAAATAAATCCACATTTTCATCTAACTGTAATTTTCCAGAAGGTTTTTATATGTACCATCGCTTTTGTATTTTATGTAACTAGCCCCATTGAATATACAGTGCTAGTCAAAAGTCCCCTCCTCCCCTCGTATCTTTTGAACGGGTATACTTATAATAATGAAATTTGGAGTGTGGAAATAAACGGATGTAGGCTTCTTAACTGGTCATAACAGGTGACGCAATAGTCATAAATGACGTCACAAGGCCACTGTGACCAAAAATTTTAAATGGGACCCTATGGCAAGTGACAGCTCGTTTGAAAGGTATTGAAAATACCTATTCAGTCATACCAATTTTGTTTGGGTTTCGGCTGATTTTGATTGATAAATTGAAGAAATACGAAAATTATAGTTTCGCATTTAATTAATAAAGATTTAAGAACCAGTTCTTATAATAAGTGTTCAAAATGTGCTCCATCTACTTCCTGGCAGTAATGCATCCTATTGCTAAACTCTTGTCGTACTCGTCCCAGTGTGTCAGCGGAAATTGCCCTNTATCAATCAAAATCAGCCGAAACCCAAACAAAATTGGTATGACTGAATAGGTATTTTCAATACCTTTCAAACGAGCTGTCACTTGCCATAGGGTCCCATTTAAAATTTTTGGTCACAGTGGCCTTGTGACGTCATTTATGACTATTGCGTCACCTGTTATGACCAGTTAAGAAGCCTACATCCGTTTATTTCCACCCTCCAAATTTCATTATTATAAGTATACCCGTTCCAAAGATACGAGGGGGGGAGGGGACTTTTGACTAGCACTGTATAGCAAGATCTTTTTCTGATTCTCTTCCTATTTTTCCAGAAAGACTTCCTCCAGAGTCACAGCTCACAGCTGTACATCAACTTATCGAAATGGGGGTAAGGGAAGGAAAAATAGCCGAAGATTACAAATTAGTGGGTCACAAACAAGTGAGGGATGGGACTGCTTGCCCAGGAGAGAAGCTTTACAGTTCAATTCAGTCTTGGCCTCATTTTTATAAAGTTCCTAATCCTCCCCCGCCCAGGGCTCAACCAGCTGTCATTACATTGAAAGAAGACAACAGGTTGAAAAAAAGAACTGCTTTAACGGGTATAATTTGAACCCGGTTTTTCCAGAATTTATTTATTTTGTCAATATACAGAGTTATTTTTGTGTTTCAGTGTATCATTTTTTTTGACTTTTTGAAAAATCAATGAAGAGAACCGAAGACGTGCTTCAACAAATTGGCTCAGAGCAATCACAGGTCTATTCACTGGACAATCTGGACCCTGTCCATTGGGGGGTAGGTTGGGTTAGGTCACTTTTCATCTCACGTTACGATTCGATCCAAAAACGGATCGTTTTGGTTGCGCAAAAGCAAACCTCGAAAACAAAAGCAATTTCTGTTGATCACTCAAATCGTGGGGCACCCACTTTTCGAGCTTATTGGCCTTTCCAATACGTTTTCAACCATCAAAAACCTCATGGGAGGAACACCCAGTTCTCGTCCATCCCACTCATCATTCGTGATAGGTCAGTCTTCACCAGGGTCCTCAAATATGTGGCAGCACTTTTCTTCGACTTATCGAAGGCATTCGACATTACTGATCTGGAGATAATCAAAAGTAAATTATAATCCCTAGGTTTTCGTGGAAATTACTTGTCATGGCTGATGGCATACATGCGCTTCAGGAAAATATCATTTAAAATCGGAGAGCATACACCTGAATATTATGAGATGGACCGGGGAGTTCCTCAGGGATCGATCTTGGGGCCACTTATTTTTTTGTTATTCATAAACGATCTTCTGAAGTTACGAAATTCCTTGGAACTTATATAGATATTGGAATGAGTTGGGAAAATAATATTGATGCCATAAGCAAAAAAGTGAACACAGGTTACTATGGTATATTGCAATTAAAAAATATGTAATACAAATCAATTCATCAATGTATATTATGCTCTAATCTACTGCACCATATCCTATAACATCAACATCTGGGAATGCTCCAGTAACTCAAACAGAATTTTTGTTTCCCAAAAAAGAATTATTCGACTCATTTTCAATCTAAAACCAGATGAATCATGTCGACCATATTTTCAAAAATATAAAATTTCAACACTTTCATGTATTTATGTTTTCAAATGTATAATGTTATTTATGCAACATGTTGAGATGTATCAAACAGTTTCTCATTGCCATTGTTACCCAACTAGAAACGGAGACCTCATCAAAATTCCTGCACACAGCTCATCATTCTATGAAAAAAGCTCCTCATATAAAGGTATAAAGTTTTTCAGTCATCTTCCCGCAAACCTGAGAGAGCAACGGAATAAAAACTTGTTCAAATCAAAATTGAAAGTATATTTTCAAGACAATGTGAACAAATCTATTAAATTGTGATATTTTATTATTGTTGATTGTAAATATGTCTATCATCACACGGTTTTTTATTTGTGACGTATCCTATATCATGCTGTATGTGATCTGTAAGGATTGAATAAAGATTATTATTATTATTATCATTATTATCATAGGTCGCCCACTTCGGGGCTCATCTTTGGGGTAAACCAACACTGCGTTCATTAACACTATCATTGCCAAATGCCTGGTTAATTTTTCGAGCAGTTCATATAGATATTGAGCTACAAAACCACAAGGGACCTGTACAAACTAGTACAGGACTTAAGATTGTTGAAATGGGTGTCATGAAAAGGGTGGGAGATAAACGCAATACGCCTATGATGATGCAGTGTTTTTCGGGAACTTGGGAGAGGAACAATGAGTAGAAAAAAGAAAAAGTAAAACGCGTGTTTGGTAAAAGGCTCAGTGCAAACTCACAATGAAGTATTAGGTAGGTACTTGAATACGTTGGAGATTTTCATTAAGTATCGACCAATTCTATCGAAACTCAATTAGATAAGATTAAATTGTCCGAAAGCTAGCCCATGGCCAGATTCACTGCGAGTTTTTCAGATCTATTGTGATGCTTCTCAGTTCTTAGAGCTCATTGTTTAGCTTGATGAGACTTCATAGCCTCGACACTACACAACAACGAATTTTATAAACATGATTCAGGTTTACCAATGGGATCACCCCTTAGTCCACTTTTAGCAGACATATTTATGAACAACCTGGAGACCACTATAGTAAATTCCGACCTGGGTAAAAAAAAATCATTTTTTGCACAGATATGTAGACGATATTCTCGTCTGTTTTAGAGGTACTACACGACAGCTGAACCAATTTATGACATTCATGGATAATTTCAACAGCAACATTCAGTTCACACTCGAAACAAAGATAGAGAAACAGATAAAGGCCTGACCTGTACACACAATCACAATAAATTTGAGTTCAATGTTTTCAGAAAACCTACCTATACGGACATTACCATCTCAAGCGATTCTTACCATCCAGACAGTCATAAATTAGCAGCCTACAATTCAATGTTACACAAAGCATTCTCACTGCCTTTGTCTGTTTAAAATCTAGCTAGGGAAATTAATATAATTACACAGATAGGTCATAATAATGGTTTCAACGCAGATACTATCCAGAAGTTAGTCAGGAAACAAAGCTGGAAATTCACTTCCAGATTAATATACCCTCAGGTCAAACAACCAGAAATCAGGAAATGGGTAACTCTAACATATTTTGGAAAAAGAGTTGGAGAAATCTGGAGTTCATAAGTTTAAGTGTCCGGAGTGAAATAGTGTTTATGTGGGACAATGTGGCCGAAATTTCCAAAAACGGTATGCTGAACATGAAAAGTCTTTCAGACTAGGAAAAAATGATTCGACATTCCTAGGCATGCAACCACAAGTTCCCGAATCTAAACGATACGGAAATGTTGCACTATGCAAGGAAGGGTTACAAACTCAATTATTTAGAATCCTTGGAAATTCATAAGCATAAACATTGCAGATGCAACCTGTTAAATGATTAAATCGATTTAGTTTACTCACCGGTTTTTAAATTGTCACATCCGCATTGTAAACTGCGTATAGTATTTCCAATACCAATTGAAACAGCACAAAGAAGGAATTCCCGCCTCGACATAGGCGTCGGCATATTATTTTTCAGTGGTAGTTTTTCAGTTACTTATTCTTATAATCATAGCAATTGATTACCCCATGAAAAAGTTTAAGGTAGTTGATTTCCGAGTCGAAAACTCTAATCTACAATGAAAACACAAATAATCACACCGAATTCTCGTTAAACATATATTTACAAAATAATAGAGGCCAACAAAATTGCTAGAAAAATCAAAATTCTTCTTCGCTATATTCGGATGAGGTGGAATCATCATCGGGTTGAATAACGATAGGATTTATGGAACTTTGCACATAATATTTGTTCTCTTCTTTTATAACGTGGGCCACACAGTTCTTCCACACATCACTATTACCTACTTCATTCACCACTCGCCTTATATTGTCAAGCACTAAAGCATTCAAAGTCGGTGACTGATTACATTTCTGTAATTTATTTCATTGTGGCCCAAACCATTTCAATTGGATTGAACACACAATAGTATGGAGGCAAATGTAAGAGAATATTACCACGTGTTTCACACATCGAATCAATAATATACTCTTTTTTTGTGATTACGTTGTTTCATGATCGCCAATAATACCTTTTTCGTTGGAATCATTTCGGGTATTCCTATGTCATGATTTCACATGAAATCAACAATGTCTGCTTTTTTTGTGTGTTTGTTTGGTATTGTAGTCAATAACCGAGAATGATACGAAGCGTTATCCATAACAATAACCGAGTTTGGAGGAATATTTGGGAGAAGCTGCTCACTGAACTAGGTTTCGAATAAAGCCGCAGTTATATCTTCGTGGTAATCAGCAGACGAATCTTTTATATTTTTGGCCGACAGGAGCAAAGCGTTAGGTACGAAACCACTTTCACTCCCGTCTATTTTAATGACTCGAAGAACTGTCGAACGAGATAGTTTCGTTAACTCGCATATTCTATTCACAATAGCATTCTGTGAAGTGTGACAGTTTTCCGGTTTAAACGATGATTTTGGAACCTTTAGTGTAAAAGTTGAAAACTTTTTCCAGAGATCAATTACCCTAACACCAAACTGATATTTTTGCACTCGACGCGCGTTTCGCTAACAAAGTTAGCATCTTCAGGAGAAGCAAATTGATACTAAATCTGAAGACAAGGTTGCTTTTTATATACCTTAAGTTTTTTGGTCGGATTTGGACTTTGTTTGTTAAATGATGATTATCCTACTTGATTTTTCGGTAATTAACATTGTGGAACCAATACCTGCAAATTAATTCGTCCGCTTTTTAATCTATTGGCTAACAGCCAACCCTTGTCTTTAGATTCAGTATCAATTTGCTTCTCCTTAAGATGATAACCTTGTTAGCGAAACGCGCGTCGAGTGCAAAAATATCAGTTTGGTGTTAGGGTAATTGATCTCTAGAAAAAGTTTTCAAAAATCGGTTTGCAAAACCACTCACTACCTCACCTAACCCCACGAACACACGGCACTGATAAAGAAATATTGTGAAACGGACAAAAAATTAGTATTCAGCCAGTCCAGCTAGCATAGCCTTTACTCATCAACTACATTTGATAGCACCTTTACTAACTATCTGGGCGACTAGGGTCCACAGGCAAAAAATGTTTATGACTGTACTCTTATTTTTATTGCCGTTCCAATTGGGAATGGATAGACTATACTCAGTCAAGCCAAGTATCGCTATTAGTACCTACACAGGTACAGGGGTGGTACAGGGGTGGTATATAATAGCTAATGTAATGAGCCATTGTTAGTTTATTGTATAAGTTTGAAAATGTCCGTATAGGACGAAACTGCAGTAACGTTAGTTACGAATAAAAGTGTTTAAAAAAATAGAAAGTTTCATTTCTCTTTTCTTCATTATGATTTCCTACCACGTAGTAACGGCTACATCCATCAATTTATTTATAGGGTATATTTTTGAATATGTTCAAGCTGAAATTCGAAATATCCCACAAAATGAGAATCTGATACAGATTTAGAAATAATTCAGTATAAAAATACAACAAAAAACGAGCAAAACTCAAAACTAATTCGCTAGGAACACAATAAAAAGTGTAGAAATATACGAAATATTTGGAATCAGTACACGTATAAGTAGCAGAAGAAAACGTCAGCGGATCCAAAAATAGTTTCAGCTATTTCAGACTTACGCACCATTCTGAAAATGTCTGCTGTACTGAAAAACAGCCAGAAATCGCGAAATCTTCGTTAATAGCCACCGTGCGTCTCACAAAGCTCGATAAAAAACGAAAAAATCATTGAAAACGATTTTCAGTGGTAAAAAATATTCAGGTAGTGAAGGGGTGTTTTTTTTTCTGTAGTACAAATATAGAGATATAAGTCATACTCTAAATCAGTGTTGCTCGAAGAGAAGGAATTTTGTGAGTGACTATCAAAATTTTGGACTTTCGAAAGGTAAGATTTGTAAATATTAAAAATACTGCAAGATGCAGATATAACAAACTTAACTCACAAAAATAATTTTTGTGCCAAAAATAAGTATGGCGTCCTCAAATTTCACAGCTGCATAGATTACCGAGGTGACATATATTAGTAGCTATTATTTGATTTATGTAGATGAAAGAGTGCCAAAATAAACTACCAAATATTAACCATGAAGTACATCCCTAGTTGTTGGACATTTGTTACTTTATTTAGAATTGATTCACTCAAATCATATATCAAATAAGGTTTTATTCAAATGCCTCCCATGAAATATATCAAAGGCAATATTTCTCGATTGTTGATTGTGAGAACATTTTGTCATGAATTGCGATAAATTCATAGTCTTCGTAAACAACCAAATCATTTTTCCTGAAAAAAAATCAAACCATCAATCTGAGGTATTTGGCAAAACTTCTGATATATCTGATGATATATTTGTTTATTTTCATGTCTATCTGAATGGTGTATCGTAGCTTCATCTATGAAGCTACGGTGTTGGAGCCACTCGTCTTGAATAAAGAAAAATTCTCTAAATTGTCGAAATATTATCATCAAGTAACGAGTCAGTCCATTCAGAATCTAGCTTTAGTGAATTAATACAGACCGAGAGAAATAATTGAAAGATTAAATAAAACAAATAGAGCTCGTATATTTGGATAATTGATGTTTAGTTAGTGAACCCAAAAAATATATTCAGAAGTTAGATATGATAATGATGATAATACATTTATCAGCAACCAATATATAAAGTATTACAGAGTAATTTTTCAATGGCAAAAACTTCTAGTGAAGGTAAATAAAATGGGAACCGTTAGACTCTGTAGCCAATTCTTTCTCAGTCTCCTTGAAAAGCCAATAAATACAGACACACATGTAAAGAAAAGTAAATTGTAGATTCTCAAACTCTGAAGAAATATTTGGTTCTCCACCTATGGTCGATGAGTAGATTTTCATAATTCAGTCAACTTTTGTTGACTGAATAAGAATCGTTTATGTCTCGTAAGACAACGAAAAGTTGGATAGGTACATCCAGAACAACGCCTAAAGTCGCTATATGTGTTCAAAAAATAAGTTGGATGTTCAAATTTCGCGCGCTACCGCTACGTATATTCGATTAGAGATTTTTTTATGTTGGTACACCCGTCTCGAACATATCTTCACAGTTTCAGCAGCTTAGCTTGTTGAATTTGTTGATGAGAGGCCTTAAAATTAGAAGCGTCGCAAGCTGGATATCTTTGAGAAGATATTGCAAGACAGAAATTTACTCATTTACTCCATTGTCTGATTATGATATAAAATGATCTGAAATCCCTGAATCAGGGTTTTCACGAAAAGTATGCCTGCTGGCAAAGAAGGTGACACGAATTCAGCCAATGGTGCCCAACGAACCACGTTCAGGCCGCCTTGGGTCAAAGATGGCCCGAGTCCTTTACCAACACCAACAGCTCCTTGGACACTGAACAAAACCAACAGGAGAGACAGCAGCACAACTGAAACTACTTCAGATTATAATCCATTAGGTAAAAAGTTGATTTTGAATTAGTTATTATTATCTTCGAAATGATGAATCACTTTTACTGTTTTCTGGAAAATGGAGAAAAAGGTTAGTAGGAGATTACAGCCGGTTCTTGGTCTCCCCCCACCACCACGACGCAATTGATAGCATTCTTGTGAGTGATGATGTTATCAACATGACCTTGAAATGTCTGGCCTGTGTCTGGTGCATAGGTGTGATTGATGTCATAGAACCATCCTCCTCACGACTTTCGACCTTGACTGCCACACCAAGGCAGAGATCTCTGCCGGACAAATGCAAAAAAGTATCTTTGTTGGCTCATTGCGTCTGCTTTGGGCACATAATTCTTGGAAGTCGGTTTTCACGTAGCAGTCTTAGCAATTTCAAACATTTCCTGAGACATGTGGAGTGACAACATATTTTTCTTGTCTACAAAAGTGAATATGTGAAACGTGTTCCCTGAATCGCGTTATTATAGTCTGCTCAGTTTGACCAACATACTTTTTTTCGTAATCCTGGCGGCTTATTTCTCAAATCCTAGACTTTTCTATTGTCCTGTCTTTTGGCTTTCCCAATATTTTGAAGAATACAAGCATTTCTGAAACCCACCACTATGTTTATTCTGTCAAAAATTCGAATCAATTCGTTAGTGTATTTTTGTTTCAATTGCTGTAATCTCATGCTACTCGTAGAAACAATTGTTGAACTTGAAGCGTATTTGTTTCAAGCATGTGTGATCTGGATGTACGAGTACTTTCCAACTATTTCACCACATAGATCATCATATCTCAAATTTGTAGAATATCACCATCTCGTAACCTTACATTTTTATTTTTTCAATTAATTATTTTTAATTTACGACAAAGAAGTAGCAAAAAGTACATATCGGCTAAGGAGTGTCTTGTTAAATTCTCGGCTTCTCAAAAAAAATACAGACATACTTAAAGTTCTTTGAGAAATTCGATATTATTAAAAAAAATCACTAGATTTGAAATGTTACAGTTTTCGCCTAAAAGTGGAGATGAGTCAGAATCTAGATTGAATGCTTGACGCTGCACTTAGAACTTTGGGCACTGAACTAAAAAGTGTTTCACAGTCACTGGAATTAGACATCTGTCGTACGCTCTTACTTCTTCTTTTTTCAATAAGTGCCCGTGAGTGTAGCAGGTGTTGCTAGTACGAAGACGTGTGAGGACAACTTGGTGGAATCTGATTTAGGGTGTAATTTTCCACGATTTTATAGTGGATTTTACTTCTTTCAGTTTCGATTGAGAGTTCTGCCATTTGGAATTCCAGGAATCCTTCAATAACTTTTTTTAGTAAGCTCTTCGATCGCTGTATTCTAATTTCTCTTCGAAATCTATGTTTTCATTCGTAGTGCTTCACGGGCTGCTTTATCTGATTGTGACATGTCATGGTACCCATAGAAACATGATATTGCATATATTACTTCCTTGATGTTTATTAAGATTCGATTATCCGAATACATTTGTTGAATACCTAGAACAGCACCCAATGAATCCTTAATGACAAAAGGATTTTTGCAATCTTAACCTAACTAGTTTTAACAAATCGGTTACTCCACCACTGTTAATACAATAATACTTTCAAGCACAAGAAAAAGGAGTTGCTGCAGCTTTTGTGAACAACAAGTTTGGAAGCAATCACAATGGGTTGTTCAAACCTCCAAGCATATTCTAGAACATGACACAAAATTCAGTTTTTTCATATGAACCAAAATACACCACTGGACTACTGCAATACGACACGCGTGATGAAGAAAGTTTGCAACTGCGTTGGATCACTTTCAACGTGATCCACAAAGTGGATCACGTTGAAAGTGAAGATCTCATATTTGTTGTGTGGTGTCTTGGTACTTGGTACTTAATATTTCAAAACTTGAATCTAGACTTGTGAAAATACTTTTGGCAGGAATAAAATGTAGGCAAATATGCGAAAGAAGCTGAGGTGGGTCGCCGCCAGCAATGAATATCATGAATGGATCCCTTTGAAAACAAATCTTGATAGATTTATTCGCAGGTTTTGCAAATGTATTATAGTTTCGAAGAAAACAGTAAAAGTTGGTTCCAAATTTCGTAATGAATCAGTGTATTTGAACCAAGTTATCTTCTGAAACTGGTTTAGAAGCTATTTTGTAAAATTTCTGGCCGATCTTAGAAACGAATTTGCTACAAAATTCCAAGACATTGCAGAGATCAGCAAGCTATCTCCGCTCGCAATTTAAAGTTGATGTAGCGGCAGAATGGAGAGTTGTTTGAACTGTCAAAGCCATCACTTCAAATAGAGATAATTGATTTGCAAGAAGATGTATCTTTGTAAATGTATAAAACGGTATCCACTGAATAATTTTGGACCAAACATGTCCACAAAAATATGAAAATTGCAAGAAACACTGTGTTTGGCTCGACATACTTATGTGAAACATCTTTTTCAAAGATGAATTTTTTGAAAAACAAAAATCATTCGAGATTAACGGACTCCCACCTAGAAGACACACTTCAAATTTGCCGTTCCTCTCGAGAACCAAACTATAAAAAACTGGCGCAAGACCGTAAGAATAGTTTCTCACATCAATTTTAGACCTTGTTTTATGATTCAGAATTTGATTTGAAACTAAAATAATACATAGCTAGCACTTAATTATTATCAGTTGTCTTTTGCCGATCACTGATCTAAAAATTAAAATGTTTTTGAAAATTGTGTAATAATTATCATGGATAGTCATGGACGGTCAGTCCATTCATAATTTGATGTTTTGGATGTTATGTACCTTAACTGACAGCTGACTACTCTTGAAAAAGCATCCCTAATTCATGCCTAGTCTGTAATAGTGAAGGTCTATCGAGTTGCAATGATTTATAAGTAATGTCTTATATTCTGTAAATAATTTTCAGGAGTAAGTGATAGGCAGACATACTGTCCTTAAAATGTTATGTTATTCATGAATTCTTCCAAGTATTTTAGTAGTTCACTCCGCTTTCATTTGCTATCGCTGTAGTATTTGGACTGAAGCTAATTCCTTCGTTTGCTTTGCAAACAAGACCTGCTTCCGGAGTTTTCTCCACATCTAATATTGTTTCTTGGATTCTGATTACGTTTTCACCAATCATTCCTTATCTCTCCAAAATGGTCATGAACCCCGCTTTCCATCTTATACCGCACTTACTCATATACATTCGAAACATTCGGTATATCTCCTGAAAATTTTGATTTTCACAGATGACACTTTCCTTCTAACATAAATCTTTATGTGTACTATCGATATTCTCGAAAGTGTGCACGTGTTATTATTTTCTTGGCCAAAAGCCGAATGAAAGAGCAATTTGGAATATGATTACGTTGANTTTACTACATGTTTATTTACGGAATGAAAAATAAAATGTTAAACTTGTTTTCGATTGGTCATTCTGAAATGAATTCATAATAAAATAGT